AAGCCGATGATAGGAGCCAAGAAGCTGGAGCACAGATAGGGCACCTGTTTCCGGGAAGGGTTCTGGATAGATGGAGGCTTGTTTGTGACCTCAGGGATAACCTTGGAATCTATGTTTCTTAGGTGAAAGTGGTCTTGCACTTTCTTTTATTTTCTATTATTTATTCATTATTAAAAATTTCTGTCTCTTCCACAGAGACCCACATTGGAGAACCGGACTGAAATCTCAAGGTCCAAATCAGGAGCAGAAGGAGAGAGAGCACGAACAAGGAACTCAGGACCACGAAGGGTGCTCCCACACACTGAGACAATGGGGAGGTTCTATCGGGAACTCACCGAGGCCAGCTGGCCTGGGTCTGAAAAAAGCCCAGGATAAAACCAGTCTCGCTGAACATAGCGGACAAGGAGGACTACTGAGACCTCAAGAACAATGGCAATGGGTTTTTGATCCTATTGCACATATTGGCTTTGTGGGAGCCTAGGCAGTTTGGTTGCTCACCTTACTAGACCTGGATGGAGGTGGGTGGTCCTTGGACTTCCCACAGGGCAGGGAACCCTGATTGCTCTTTGGGCTGACAAGGGAGGGGGACTCAATTGGGGGAGGGGGAAGGGGAGGGGGAGGGAAATGGGAGGCGGTGGTGGGGAAGAGACACATTCTTATAGTTTATTTCCTTTGTGTATATCAAAGTATAAATCTTTTCTTTATCATTTCAGGATCTTGGAAAAGATCATACACACGAGAGATAAAGGAATTTCCTAGAGAGTTACAAAATACTATTTTAATAATGACAAAGGGCTTTCCTTTAGAAAATATGATAAATATATAAGCATTTAATTCTTCTGTGCAGAATTAAATCATATATATTTTAAAATAAAAACCTATTATAAAAAGTATTGCTTGTCTTGTTAATAAAACTTGATCCAGGGCTTTTCTACCAAATCCTTGATAATACTCCGTTGACTGACTTTGGTGTTCTGCAGGCCTTGTGAATACAACTAGTGCTTCAGCTAAGTATTTATCCAATGCTTAGTTCTTGGAATTAATTTTTCAACAGGAAATTCCTTGTTGCAGCATAGGCATAAGGAGGTGCCTGATGATTCAGCAGTCTAAGTTACTAGTTTTATACATTTGAAAGGTTTGAAATAACAGTACACAGGAGGAACTGGTTGGCCTCCATCACGGGAAATCTAATAGGGGTCATTTTCATATAAGCTCCTTAATATTTTTTGTGTGAAAAGATCATGATATTCTGTACCATGTCTGTAGTACAGGTGTACTACATAAGAGATTTTAGAATGTCTTTGCCTTCATTCATCTATGGTCTTCTGAGGTTCGACTCCTGAAGAAAATGAAAATTGGATAGAGTAAAATCAGTTTCCCAAACAACCTCGGGCCCTGCTCATCTCTTGGCTGCTTCCAGTGTGCTATGCAACCTTGAGATGTCCTTCCTTACATGTGAATTATGGAATGGCAAGGTTGGGTTTAGCATTTCTGAGGCAGTGAATCCCACAGGGAGTTGAGCTTCAAGCTATGCTTCTCACCTTTTCCAATTCTGAAGTATTTGGGGTTGGTGGAAGTAAACAAAACAGTTAAACTTTGATTCTGTATAATTTGTGCATGAACATGCAGAAAGATAGCTTTCCCCCAGGCAACTACCCTGTGGTGCCGCTCTTCCCCCACACCTGTCACTACTTAAGCATGAAGATGAATAGTTGCATTATTTTTTCAGTGCAAGAACTAATAGCCTCTTAATTGTTTTTAATGGGATGTTTTAAAGGAGCCTCTTATTTTCCATGTTGCGGTATATTTTTCAGCATCATAGGGCCTCTGATCCGACACATTCCAGTACCATCTGCTAAACGAGATTGTGTTTAAAATAATGATTCATTGTATATAGATAAACTGGCGATTATTTTTTACCATCTAACTCTGCCACTCCACTACTAATATCCAGGCTGCAGTGATGGATGTGTGTCCTTACAGAATAGGACAATATCGTGCCAGGATTGGAATAAGATTTTCCTATGCATTCAGGTCAAAATGTTGCCTCCTTTTAGAGAAGGGGGAAAGGAAAGAAACAGCACTGTCGTGAAACTTACAGAAAATTCCTGTGGAGATGGAGAGAGCAGTGTAACAATCAGACCACTTATTCTCTGCATTTCTAAAACTACGTTTCTTCCTTTTCAATGATCCACAGGAGCAAATAAGGACCGTGGAGCACAATGGGTAGATCTGAAAGAAATGATGCCATCCAAAAGGGCTTCCACACTCTGACAGCACCAATACATGGGTAGAATTGCAATAGAAAATGGGAACAGTAAACACTAGTGAGAAACATGACTATCATTTCATTATTTCAGCTGCAATTCCAAAGCTTCCAGTTAAGGGAGTTATATTGCCCTGCTTTATCTATTCATAGCTGTGTGTATGTCTCCCTCCTTTCAAGAAGAGGATGTCCCATGTTCCTATGCCAATGATCAGATAAATACTCTGTACGAACATGTGTGTGTGTGTGTGTGTGTTTGCCTGACTTCCTGTCTGTCTGTCTGTCTGTCTGCATAGCATAGGAAGCCTGTTCCTTTTTATGTTACCTAGGCTGCTCTCAAACTTCCAGCAATCTTTTAGTTTTAGCATCTACAATGCTGAGGTTACATGCATAATACAAGTTTTTGATTTACTAAGAGAGGTAGATGAGTAAGTTCTAAAGACTGTCTGGACTTCAGAAATATTGTAAATGTTTGGTATTTTCTAGGTGAAGAAATTGTGGAATTGGCAATGGCCCTTTCTTTTCCCACTCACTTTCTAAGGTCTCAAGATGTCATCTAGCTTTGAAATGGGAAAATTCAATTTGTTATGTTTCTTTGTTGTTACCAATGTGCTTATTCCTTTTTATTACCATTGTATGGTAAATCCAATCTGCAACAGATGATGTTATAATGAAATGAGGATCCTCGGAGGTCAAAGAACCTTCATTGGTGCTTGTGTGTGGTCACTGAGAGAGTTCTCTACCGCCTGAATCCCTCATTTATTATTAAGAATAAACTACAGTTTGAGAGGTTTTAAGAACAATTAGATATTATGATGGTAAGGAACATAGCCACTAAGATAAAGGTGTCGTTTTGATTAGCTTCCTCAACCTCCCATCTATTATCATTCCTATCATGTCTCCAAGAGATGCTAGAGCACGTGACCACAGTGGAGTAAAATAAGACAACAGACATTTCTGAGCAAGGGCTGGGGATCGATAAAGAAGATAATATAAAAATAGTAGCTATTCAGGAAAGTATGATAGGCTTTCCTGTAACATTTAGAGAGCTCAGGTGACTGAGGAGGTAACCGAGCAGCTATGTATGCTTGGTGTACAAGTGCAAGGACCTGAGTCTGAAACCTCAGCAGATGACAAAAGCCAGGCACAGCTGCTCATCAGGTATCTATGACATGGAGGGACACACACACAAATAAATAAATATAAATAAATAAATAAATAAATAAATAAATAAATAAAAATGGGATGCGGGGAGAGACAGAGAATTCTACTACTCCTGTGGCTAATGAATCTTGGAAGAACAGAAGAAACTATAAATATACTGCTGATTACTTACTTTTCCAAAAGTAGCAACTGAATAAAAGTGACCTCAAGAAACAAAAGTTCAGGTTACTAATAGATTACTTAACAGTAATAGAGCAGAAAGATGTACCTTACTCCCCTACAAGTTATAATATAAAATACAGAGTCCTCAAAAATGGACAGATACTTATTCCTGAGGCTAGTATATTTTAAAACTTCATGAAATATGTAAGGGAAATGAATAAAATGACCAACGCTGCTTAGGTAAATGGGTCCAGAGCCAACTTCTACTATGAAACATTTCTGTCAGTATGCAAACTCTAACTCTCGTTGATTTTAGGGTCTACCCTGCTCATCAAAGATATGGTGATATTAAAAGATGGTAATTAGAAGCTCAGAAAAAGGATACCCCACAAAGAACTGATTCACTGGGGTTGCTATGAAAGAAGATACGACCTAGTAGCCTACCTTGTCAAGGAATCCTTGAAGAAACTGCAGGTCACAAAGCTGCAGGAAGACCTGAAGACAGCCCGTCAAGCACAAATCACAGAGGGCTTTCCTGAGAAAGGGGCAAAAATAACATTTTGCTGAGCAGTGAGAAAAATATGGGTCACATTTTATCCTTCAGGCTTAAAGCTCCATTTTAAGCCTAGGAGCTTTCAGTTCCCACTGTCAAAGTGTTCTAAGCTGTGTATAGAAACATCTTTGTCATCCAAAAGCTTACATCTTTATAGCCCATTGGATATCCCAAAAACAATTAGAATACTGAATGTCTATGTGTGTCTTCTGTGAGAACCAACAGTAACTTTTAAGTATCATGCCCATTTTATTCATGCACTTGATTCTAGAAGCAACCTCCTTCTTGCAGATGAATATTGCTTTACCACAGTGTGGAAAGGAAATGATAAACCAAGCACGGGAGTTACCTACTTATATTAACATTACTCCATATTAACAGATTAACTTACTCAGCTCATATTAATTCTCTGAGCCTACCTTTTCACATTTTAGCAGATGGTGGAATTTCTGTTTGATAATATTTTGCCATCCTCATATCTCTGTGAAAGAACAGAAGTGCCTTATTCCCATTTTGTGTCTGAGAAAACCAATATACTAATTAAAGGACAATATCACTACTTCTCACTGAATAATTGCTATCAAAAGTCAGAAATTGGAAGTTCTAAATTAATAGTTTAAATTTTCCTTTCCCCAGGAGTTTGAGTTACAGAATCCAGAAATCATATTTTCCTATTAAGAATGTCAGCTGGGTCAATGTCAGAGGATTTAGTGAGAAAAAACTAATAAAATGTGATTGTAAAATCCCAGAGAACTGCTGAAGTGTGCAGTCTGCTGTGTTTCCCCCTTGCTGGCGTGGATTCTAGAAATAAATAAATGAGAGAGGCCTCCTGTGTTTGTTTGAGGAGGCATGGGCAGTATTCATTATGCATTGTTTCATAGAGTGGGACACGGAAAAGCCACCAGTGCCAAAGCCAGATCTGAAAAATTCATGAGAATGTGGGTGGCTACTCAGAATAGTTTGCACCCCAGGGAAAATCATCCCACGCCTCTGTCACAAGGTACATTTTGCAGTCAGAGACAACAACATCCTCCAAAGGGGGAAATCCTTGGCCCTCCATAGAACAGCCTTTGGTAGCTTCTACTTAGAAATAGTAGCTGCGTGTGGGAGAGATAGGCTAATGCCATCTGCGAAGGAATTTCCTTTGCAAGGAGCTGAGGAAACGGTGGAGTTAGTGCTTCACACTGGGCTCTGCTTGCGATTCCCATCACTTGCTTTGCCTGTGTGTCTGATCCATCTCTTTCAAAACCGTCTCAGTAATACAGTCAGCAAGCATGATGGTTTCTCAAACATTATTGGAGAACATACAATTGTGTGATTATTGCCATTTTGTTACTTTAAATGAAATTCCCTTTCTAAATAATGCATTTGAGTACAATTAACAATGGTTATACAATCCAATAGAAAGCATCTTATAAG